TTAAGTGTAGAACCACTAGACTGAGGAACAGCTTCTACCCTGAGGCTGTTAGACTCATGAATCTCTAACTAGAATAATCACTGTGAAAAACCATATCATGTTGCTGCTGATCTGTTTCATGTTGCTGCTGATCTGTTTCAATGTTGATGTGTTCATGCGTGCACATCTGCTCACAGACTCATGTTCATGTTTGTGGTGTTGTTCAATGTTTTATGTTATGAGTGCTTAGTGTATATTTAGTTGATGTTTTTCTTAGTTCATATCTTAGATGTTATTACTGTTTTTCTTATACATTTTATTGTTGGATGTAACTGGGACCCTGTGTACATAATTTCGCTCCACCACATGTACCACATGAGGTGCGAATGACAATAAAGAATCTCTGACTCTGACTCTGACTCTGATAAAGTTTTGGCTCAATATCTGTAGACATTTATGTGTTCTCTAACAGACAGGGCCAGATAACACTTCACTGTACCCAAGGGCCTCATCATCTTGAGTCACAACCCCAGATAATCTGGCAAAATACAGAATAAATTACCATAATATACAGTAAATATACTTCAAATTCTAACTATCAGGTGTATGTTGATGTACAAATATCCACATGTCCATAGAACTACAGTATATGTAAATATACTATGTGCTCTTGTTAATGCAAATCACCAAGACTGAGTTAAGTTGAGCGCACTTTGAACAACATTCGACACCATTGTTTAACAACGCGCTGGCCATTGGCGTCAGAAACATTTGTAATGGTGGTGTGTGTGGGGGGGGGGGGACACTGATGGGAGTTCTGGGGGTCCTCCCCCAGAAAATTATGAATAAAGTAGATGCCATTTCCTGCATTCTGGTGTATTTTAAACCTCTAGTTTTACCTACATAAGTAAACACCTGAATCAATAACTATTTTAGAGTTAATGGCAGGGGCAGCACGGTGGCGCAACTGGTAGAGCTGCTGCCTCTCAGCGAGCAGGTCATTGGTTCAAACCCCGGTCCAGGGGCCTTCTGTGTGGAGTTTGCATGTTCTCTCCGTGCATGCGTGGGTTTTCTCCGCATACTCTGGTTTCCTCCCACAGACCAAAAACATGCATGTTAGGTTAATTGGTAACTCTAAATTGTCCCTAGGTGTGATTGAGAGAGTGAATGGTTGTTTGTCTCATTTGTCTCTATGTGGCCCTGTGATGGACTTGCGACCCGTCCAGGGTGTACCCCGCCCCTCGCACAGTGATTGCTGGACATGGGCACCAGCGACCCCCGTAACCCAAAATGGAAGAAGCGAGTAAAGATAATGGATGGATGGATAGATGGATGGATGGAGTTAATGGCACAACAAGAAGTAGCCTGACCAACAGCTCTCCTTGTGTGAATAGAGCACGCTCTGCTTTTCTCACGCATCAGTCTAAGAAGTCATTACGGGCTATATGGGGCAAGCATGCAACCTGTTGTGTGTCGTCTCTGCTGTGACAGACAGGCTCAGGGAGGGGGCGAGGGTCTGTCTTTCCCATCGCTGCTGCTGCTGTCTGGGGGCGCTTCAGTGAGGCGGATGCCTGAGTGAGCGGCATGGACTATTTATTTAAAATAATAGAGCGTGACTCGAACCGAACCTTTGGTCCAGCTCCTCGGCGGTCACTGAGCAGGAGAGAGTAGAGGGAGAGGGTCTCAACTCACATTCACAGGCAGCGCAGCGGTCTCTGAAGCAGCGCAAGGGCTCAGGATGACAGTTTATCATAAAGCAGGAGATAACCAGATATTTTGCTTGTGCCCTCACTGGCCTGGGCCCTTTAGAAGTTGTGGGCCCCTGGGCATTTGCCCATATGGTTAATCTGGCCTTGCTAGCAAACACACAAAAAATGCAGATACACGCACACACAAATATTGGTGTGATTGTTGCTGTTGTTTTGTTTGGAAAATGTGCATTTTCCAAATCCTGTGAGGTTTTTTTTTTTTTTTTTTGAAGCGTAATGTGAACATGTGCTACTTGACAACTTGTAAATAATGTCGTTACTGAGAAGTACTGGTAACTAATTTTTTAACATGTTCAAGAAATGCAAGGGACTGGTCTGACTTATTCTTAAGTAACGTTCCTCAGATCTTGTGTGAACATCATTGTTAGACTAAATTAACACTGACACTCAAGGTTTTGGGGGGAAAAAACTTGATTTCCCACATTATTCGAGATACTGGTCGCACAAAGGTTGTTAGAAGTGGTTCAGAGAAGTCAAAAAATAAATAGTAAATAGAAATGCAGGCATAAAAACCTTGAGAAAAAAAATTAACTTTACCTCTGTTGTTGGCACGCTTGCAGAAACACCTCTTCCTGTAGCATCATACTTTAAAGAACCTTGAGCTTTTCACTCAGGGACTCTGTTTTATGTTTCCAAATTCCTTTGCAAGGCCGCAGCACCGAACGCCTCACAATTAGTACAAGTCCCAGACCTTTGCCTTTCATTCAACGCGCTCACCATGGAAACACTATTGTATGTGCATTGAATAGACATAAACACGGGATTGAAAACCAGAATCAGTGACAAGGTGGAGTTACAGTTTCATGATGGATTTGCAGCCCTCACTTTTCTCATCAGAACCCACATGGATATGATGAACAACTGAACAGAATTTAAACCGAACCCATTCACTTCTCAGACTTTTAAAGCGTTTTATTATGACTTACAGTTGTGCGTTTATGAAGCATTTTTAGACATTCAGATCTAAAAGGTACATCAAAATATCAAACAGATACAGAAGCACAAAACACACACATAAGACTCCGATGTGAGTTGGATTTAACACCATTTTTGTTCATGAATAATGTTAAAATTGAATACAGAATATCAGAGACAAGCTATATCCTCAATTTAACAACATAATTACAATTAAATTAAAAACATGACTATAAACATTTCAAAAAGGCTGAACATACAGAAGGCGTGGAGGCCCACAAACACTTTTTCTGCTTGAACTACTGTGATCACATTCAATTTAAACACACAAATTGTTAAAGTTGGACTTTAAAAACTTTCTGAATTTGATCCAGTTGAATTAGTTTAACAGCATTTAGAAGAAAAAAAACCCATTTCATTTGCAAGATAAAAATAAATTACGCAATACATCAAAGTATGTAAAATGAATAAAAAACATGTGCATTTACACGCAATCTGAAAAGTCCTGTGCTAGTGGAAATCAAAAGATGTTTCAGTAAATATGCCCAGCCAGGAGCTGGAGCTCTTCTAGCAGCATTAATGCACGCTCACAACGCTGTGTGGATAACATGTCGAGCAGAAACTTACAACAAGCGCAGATTCAACAATGAAAGTCCTGCTGCGTAGATACATTTTATAATACATATATTCATAATAGCTTTTGCCTCGGAGCCCTCTGCCCATTTTAGCTGTAGTTTCAGACAAGACGTTAAGAAGATGCAGTGTCCACATCGTGCACAAAACTCCACTAAAACACAATCACTGCCGCAAACATTCGGCCGCTCAGCCTCTGAGCAGAAAGCATCTCATTACGGCACAAAGTTCATCTTCGAAGAACAAAGGCTTCCGATGTTTTTGACAGAGATGGCTCGTGAAACGTGGTAAAGAAAATCCAGCGATTTAGTCGTGATACACAGAGGATGATCCCTGAGAGGTTTGTAAATGTCTATATCATCACAGGTTTACAATACTGCAAAGCACCAAATTACAGTTGATGCACGAGTTAGCTTAAACAAAGTTATTAGAGGAAAAAAGCTTTATTTGATTTTATTTTTTGTGCATTTGATCTTTTGTTCTAAGAGAAATCATACTTCCTGGGAAAACTTCTTGGCTAACGTGACAGAAAGATGAGCAAAAAAAGAAAATATATTATATATGAAATGCAGATATCAACAATGTGGATTAAACAAATAGTCGCTTGCTACTCTTCATATGTTGTTCCACTTTTAACCTTTTCAAAAACGATTTAATAAAGTATAAAATAGTATGCACTGACACAATTTTCCTGGCTGTTTTGTCTAAAATCATCTTTACATTTAACTATCTTACAGTCATTAAATTCACATTTATATTAAAAGTCACTATAAGTTTAATTGAATACAAACAAATCCCACAAAAAGAACTAAACCAAGAATGCTTGTCAGGTTATATGTGTTGTTTTGCCTTTTAAGAGTATATATTAAAATATTTAAATTCAATGTGTAGAACTTAATCAGATCTACATTGTAAAATCTAGCATCGACATAAAAGTACGAGTAAAAATATATAAAGCGATGATTATAAAATCCCACGTCGATTACAGTAAATATCGTAAATCTGTTTCGTTTAAGTTTGTTTGAATTGTGAGCTAACTCAGCTGCTTAGGATAACTACAACTGTCATATCCCATGTTATTTTAGCTTAATTAAAAGGGTCTGGTTAATGAAAGACAATTAACAATTGGTTGGACCAAAGCAACATTACTTTAGAAAAACTTGGTTTTAGTGCAATAGTACATAATTTGACTAATTTTACTTTAGCTTTAGTATTCACTTTGGCCAAAAGAAAACCATAACTCCCTGAAAAAAAAACAATAAAATTGCTTCCAATATAGCATAAAATTATAGGTGGTATGATCAAGTGGAGTTATATGATTAAAAAAAACAAAGACAAAGAGATGACATGACATTAAATGTCCCCTTCTACTACTGCTGTGATTATTAAAATACATTTTTTTCTTTTGATGCCGATTAAAAAAAAAACAAGGTGCTGCTTATTTATGTGAATAGATCTTTTTAAATATTACACACTGGAACTGCTTTGAAAATATATTTCATCGATAGAAGCGTCATTTTAAGGCACTGTTTCCTTATAGAGTGTATTAATTGGACGCTACTTTATTTAAACTTTAAGCAGTGCAGAAATAATTAGTTGGTTTCGGTCTTTTTATGGGATTTATTGGGACTAACAAATCTTGCTCAGATCGTAGTCGTGATCTGAGTCAAGCACATATCAATAGAGTCCTCCCAGCTATGGTAAGAATTAGAGGACATGTTCATGGCTAGTCATACTGGCCTGGGTTGTCTCGTGTCTCCCCGTCCTTCGGTGGGGCAGGTGTGATCCCGTAGGGTGCTCCTCACTCTGCTCACCCCTTGACAGTCCCTGTGTCCCCGCCCTGCTCCAGGGCAACAAAAGTCCCTGAAGCACCTCTTGAAGTTTTCATCCAGGAAAGCATAGAGGATGGGGTTGAGGCTGCTGTTGGTGTAACCCAACGCCACGCAGAAGAAGTAGGCTGCCATGACGGAGGTGGTCTCGGGCACGCTGGACGACAGCGTTTTGACCAGGATGAAGATGTGTATGGGCGTCCAGCACACCACAAAGACCGCCACCACCACCAGCACCAGGCGGGTGATCCGACGGAGGTTGCGGTCCTTCTCGCGGGAGCCAGAGAGGAGACGCACGCTCTTCAGCCGCAGGACCATCAGCGTGTAGCAGACGGTGATGATAATGAGGGGTGCCACGAAGGCAAAGATGAAGACGCAGATCTTCATCAGGGTGTCCCAGTAGGAGTAGGGGTCAGGGAACTGTAAAGCACATTCTGTAGTTCCTGTTGGTTACAGAGACATTACACATTGGACCAGTCAGATGCAAAGTGGTGCCAAACACAAAATCAGATGTGCTTTCAAATGTTTAGTCATGTCTCCAACAACACACTCAGCTGAATCTGCCAAAAACCACAGTCACATGATTGACATGCAGTGAAGATGAAGATGTTTAGATGGAAGAGGGAATTTGCTGCTAAACACAATAGAAAAAAGGAGTAAGACAATCGTCGAGGATACGTATCAGGGGTCAGAGTGGTGGAGCACCATAAAGCCGGAGCTCAACATTCAAACATTCGACTTATGCCTAACTTATTTTAAACCTACTGTTTCAGCCTAGCCTAATCCGAGCATTAATACGTATCAGTGCTTTCAAATTGCCGGACTTCTCGATCCCAAACAGCTTTTCCATGAACACTACCATTGTTGACTGTTTCCATAGGTGAACAAATACTTTTGTAGTTGGCATCTATTCACAAATTTTACTTATAAATGCTTCATTTAAGGGCACATTAACTATCAATATGAGAATAAAAACTGGTCTTACTTCATGAATTTGTTTAGACCGGTCTTTATGACACTGCAGCCAGTATCTTTAGATGTTAAAACATAGCTTTCGTCCTTACGAAGATTCCTCAAGTCTCTAAAATTCAAGTCAGTCCAGTACATCACAGTTAAAGTTTTGTCTCAAGCGACAATTTAAGTTGAAGCTGTGCTACTGCACCTAAGAATGTACAATCCTATAATGAGAAATGTTTGTTCATTCAGAAAAATTAAGGTTAGACTCATTTTATAATTTGATAGTCTTTGGTCAGATGAAAGAACAATTTAGTTGTCAAGTTAAAGAACTCATGAGGACTTTTTATCAAACGTATAGAACATTTTTTTCCCATTGAATCAAAGCAGTTAGTAAAGATAATTCAGCAATAATTCTTTAATACATGTCAGTAATAAAATATTTTATAGATGACAAAAGTCCTCTGCAGAATGTGAATAAACCAATGCAAGAAAGACCTGCAGCAGAGTTCTACTCAGCACAGAAGAAGAGCAGAGCGAGGTACCATTATTGGTGTTAGTGCTGCCGAGCACCATGGCAGGGATCCCAGCAGCCGATGACAGCACCCAGATGATCACATTGATGATCTTTGCCTTTACAGGCGTGCGGAAGTCCAGCGCCTTAACTGGGTGGCACACGGCCACATATCGATCCACGCTCATCATGGTCAAGGTGAAGATGCTGGTGAACATGTTGTAGTAGTCAATGGAGATGAAGACCTTGCACGCCACTTCGCCGAACGGCCAGGAGCTGAGCAGGTAGTCTGTGCTCTGGAAGGGCATGGTGGTGGTGACCAGCGCGTCAGCCACGGCCAGGTTGAAAATGTAGATGTTGGTGGCCGTTTTCATCTTGGTGTATCTGCAGGGGAGAGAAGAAACAAACGGAAGGTGCATCTTGATGTCTGAAAAAGCCAATTTGTAAAAGAATAACAATGAAAGTGTTTTCTTAAATGTTGGATCGGTTTGAGCAAATATCGAGCCAGAAGGTTTGACCCAGATGGGGTAGAGATGAGCTGTGTCATTCTTCACAGACCACCATTTTAAGTTGACCAAAGCAAACCTGAAGGCACGCCTGCTTTAAGATGCAACCAGTAAAGATAAGTCCATAAAAACAAGTTGTAAGAAGTCTAACAAGGTTAAATCATGCCCTGACTTAACCTTAGATTTGCCTACCTGGATTATTGAGCACGCATCAGGATAAAACTTGTAAGAAGGTTTTTAATCTGGCTGAGTTTGGGTTCCTAAACTACCGTTAGCTGATGCTAGCTAACTGATGCTAATAGCTGCCAGCACTAGCTAGCTAGCACCGAAATATGATGATCTAAACACAGATTTTAAGTCGTCATTTTTAACTCAATGTTTTAGTAGCTCTGATTATTATTTTTAAAACTTAGCCCAGTATGCTGAGTCAATAACCCCACCGAGCGAAGCGAAAACGAACCACGGTTCAAATTTGATCTGGGTTTCAAGATGAGTTTTCAACCCAGCGGTTTTTAGTGTGTGGTTTGACATCGTCTTGCTGAAATAAGCAAAGCATGTCCTGAAAAAGGATGCCATCTGTTTCAGGCTGTGTTTTAGCTCAGTAAATAAATAAATATTAATTGCACTTTGGATGATCTGCCTATATCAGACACTACTGTTAGCTAGTGACTTAAAGTTCTCCCGGATGTGCAACCTCTCATACTTTTTGATTTGTCAGACCCCTTTCTGCTTCAGTCCATCTTTAGTTTGTTGAGGCAAACGTGTTTGATTTTAATTCTGTGTCACCTCAGGGCCTGAAGATCCAACTACTTCATCATTGGTTTTCTCTTTGGTCCCCTGAAGTTAACTGCAGCTGAAAACAAATCCCTTTTTTTGTTTCCTTAATTGTTTTTGTTTGTCAAAACGTATAACTTTCTCACAAAGACTTCTTTCATTTTTACCTTCCTTCGTGATTTATTTTATTGTTTACATCAACAGAATGTTTGTCTTTCTTTAAAGTCATTTTTTAAATTAACCCACACTTAACATGCTAAAAATAAAAAGGTAAAAACAATCTAATTTTAAAATCAACACTTAAAACACCTGAATGAGGCTTTTAACTGGACTTTCCATGAAAAGGAACAGATGACTTTTGTCAAGGAAAACTGCTTTTACTCCCTGCAAACCTTGTTATAACGCACTGAAGTCAAAGAGTGGAACAAAGAGACAGAAAACAGATAATTGTCCTAAAATCAAGACAAATAAAAACAGAAGAGACAAGGGGGGGAAAATCCAATATATATGGAAATAAATGCCATTTCTTTTTTTGTCTTTGCCTCTCCTCTTTGTTAGACCTGGATGCAGGTAAACAAACATGAAACAATCCTCAGGCGCTGGAAAATTACGCACCAGTTTCCCAACTGCTGCTCCATGTGCGTCGTTACAGATGTGCCATGTTCTCTGCTTCACACTCACTGACCCGCTTACACGCGCACGCACAACACATATCATAGATTTAAAACAAACCCCAAAATAATCAAATAAAAGCTCACCTAATGATGACATACATCACCAGACAGTTCCCCACCAAGCCCACCACGAACACCACCGAGTACACGGCGACTATGATGGGGATGATGGGTGACATTGGTTCGGGTTCCGCGTCCCAGGTCCCGTTGGGGGTGTAGTTAAAGTCGTCGGACAAGCCGGGCTGCCAGGTGAAGTTCGGCACGCACTGCCCGGGCTGGCCCGAGGGACACCGGTCCTCTTTGAAGATGTGCACCACGCCGCTCTCCATGGTGGTGCTGAACTGCTGCGCTCCTGCGGCGGGGCGCAAAGTGAGCGCGCAACTTCACCCCCAACCCCCACAAAACAATAAACAACAAAATGGGGAGTAAATGTTCCCAATTGCGCAAATTATAGAGGGAGAATAAGCTCAAAAGCCGATTTCAATATACATCGTACCTTTGATTTGACTGCTTCCAAAAAGTTCCTTTCAGAAGCCCGGGTGGCTCTCACGCACAGCCGCGCGAACCAAACGCGGATGCGGGGAAAATTAGCAGGTTTTCTGGGCAGAGAGTGAAGGAGGAGGGAAAAATCAGAGCCTGTGCCACCGCTGCGCGCCCGAAGGTGCGCACTGGAAGCCCGCACTGCTCATTCAGTGACATCAGAGGCTGAGCCCACAGACATGACCGCCGGCAGAAGGGCTCAGTCACACATAAAAATATACTTTATGAAGATGTTACATTTTATGCACAACCAATTAAAGGCCTTTAGGAAATGCGTATCGCCCGCCGCATATCATGCAGGAGCATGATTGAAAATGAGTTGCAGCCCCTTTGGTTAAACCTTAAAAATGTTGCAATGTCTCACACTGGCTGCCAGCGCTCGCAGTATGCCTTATGAATAACTATCAGCTACTACTACACTGAATTTTAGTTCAGTATCTATAATTTTCATTAAGTTATAGCTATTATTGTGCAAGCTATGGTTGATTAGCTGTGATGGCCATCTTAAAGTGAGTTGACTCCAAACGATGAACATAAAGGTACATCCAGTGATGACTTACCAAGAGTTTCATTAAACTCCTTCCAGTGGTTCAAGAGTTATTTTGCTAACAGACAAACAAGAATAACTCCAAAAGTTGCACAATGTTTTGAGCTCAAAGTATGTGTTGGGGATAATGCTCAGCTCCTATCACCAAAGTTACCAGTGAAACTGGTTATGTCCATTCATGTGCTAACTAATGCTGATTAGCTTTAGCAGCCATCTAGATTTGGGTTGTCTCTAAAAAGTCAATTAGATGTACAGCCAGTTTTTTTTTTTCCTGAAAGGTTCATTAAAATTCTTTTATTGGGGTCATGAGATATTTTTGCCAGCAGAATGACAGATATGTGCACAAGTCAGTCTGCTTTCAGTGTATAAAATATCATTTTTAATTCCCATCATTTCAAATGTTCCTATAGCAGCATGTGCACCTGCTGCCACTGCAGTGCATGAAGTGCACGCTTGGATCAGGATGTAACCTTCACTTGAATGCATCAGTTCCTAGAAGAGCTCAGGCAGCGTTTTATGGAGTGTCAGTCAAAAATGAGCACTCATCACCAGGTGAGATTGTGAGCAGCTTCAAAGAAAAACCTCATCAGTGCCTCCTGAATCATTGCTGTTCACACACACACGCACACACACACATATATACATATATGTGTATATATATATATATATATGTATATGAAACAAACAATAAATCAGCCTGTAATATAGCCTCCTTCATGTGCGTATTTATCGCAGGCAACAGGAGAAGGCAAGGCGATGATGATTTTGCCTGTGCCTGTATTGGTTGCAAAATATCTCATGAACCGCTGGATAGATTTAACTGAAACATCTGTAACAAATTAACATTTGGAGCCAACTTTGCTTAAGATGTCTCCACAGCTGAGTGACCTGAGCAAACACAACAATGATTATAACTCAAATTTCTAAAGCTACGAAGCTCATATACTAGTTGAGATTGGTCCCTGACACATTCTCTGAGTGTTAACTGGTCAAGTCAGATATACTTTTTAAAGTTTGAGATAACCTAATGGATACAAGTATGTCTGTTAGTAAAATATCTCATGAAACACTAGGTAGATTTGAATGAAATGGTCAGAAATCCATGAATGGATGATTATTTACAACTGATTAAGTTTTAAAGACAACCCGATTTAAGATGACTGCCACAGCCAAGTGATCTTTGGAGACCCTAAAAAGGCTATAACTCTGCCAGTTGTACAGATATTAAGCTAAAATTGAATGTTGTAGTAGCAGAGAGTCATTCTCAACACAAGAGCATTACACTGTATGTGACTGTCATGGTTACTGTGAGTTAAAACTGACGAGGTGGCAGGAAATATGAATTCCTTCATGGGAAGCAAGGCCTTTAATTGTCTATGCTTCCATTTTTTCTCCAAGCGTCGATTATGAATCTACTCATCAGTTACGCCATGACACAAATGAAAAGACGACAGTGAGTTTAAATGCAGAGAACTCCTCTTTTCTGCACAGTTCCTTCTTTTATGTGTCTCTCTCCAGCAGCAGAGAGGAAACAGGTTCCAGCCAGCCCGTCATTAAACCCGTTCCTTTCCCTCCCTAACAGTAGTTGCTTAGAGACCCATCATGGCCAGATGTTGCTTGAGTGGCAAAGTCTCTTTGTTGGTGTTCCTCGTGTCAAAGCTTGACTCCGTGTGTTTGGCAGGGCAAATATTTGACAGCAACTCTCTCCGAGGCTCCTGCTTGAACCTTGAACGGAGAGCGCGTGAGTCTCCTCTCGGCTCAGACGAGGGACTCGGTGGAGGACAGTTCCAGTGTTTACCTTGAATTCTAATAATGCTGTGCCAAAGGTTTGTTTCTGCACAGATACAATCAGCTCTGCTGCTCCCGACACTTGAGGCATCACGTTTGTTAAGCTCCCAGGGAGGAAGGAAAATGTTTATTTAAGTAGCCTCCAGCAAATGAGGTCAAGGATAAACATTTTTTTTAATGACTATTTTTTAAATTCCTCTCTGCAGAATAAAGCTGAGGTACGATCCGCTCAGTGAAATGTTTTAGGTTAGGGCTTCATGGCAAACATGCATTAAACACTAAGGAGAAGCTTTAACGCAGCTTCGGTTTTGTATTTTAAACCACTTACTCCTGTCTGGTTTGGCAGAATTTCAACTTTTTGTATTGTATTCTTGTGACCTCATTAAGGACTTAATTTTTTTCTTTTTGATGGACATTTCTTCTTTTCCTCTTTAGACGTTGTCATCTTCATTACTCTGGATATTGGTTGGATGTTGAGAAATTAATTTGACTAAAACGTTGCATTCCTAGGAATTGCAAGTCTTTTGTTCTTCTTTTCCCCGTCTCATTTGTTCCTTGTTGTTGTTGTTAGCATTAAACATCATTAGTCAAAAATTTAGAAGGAAAAAAGGACATGTTGAAATGTGAAATAATTCATGGAACGCTTTTTAAAGATGTTTGGACTACATCTCCTCATTTCAAATGTATATCACCAGCCATTCTTGTCACCTGCCACAAAAGTTGAAAATGGATGTTTTTGCCTGTAGTTACATTGTCTGTACACAGTGTTTGTCTTCTTATGTCCATCCTTAGGTCGCTGGTTCGTATCCGGCTCGAAGGACCAAAGTGCTATATAAAAATATCCTCTTTTCATCTTACTTAAAGAAGCCACACTCGATGACAGGAGATTGTTAACCGTTTTTTCTTGCGAGGAGATATTATCACAACAGGTCACACAACTACACAGAACTTATACACATGAAGCCCAGTCACAAGAATCTGCCAAGGGCAGTGTGCGAGGCTTGTTTTTACATGTTTATCAGCTCTTCCAGCTCACAGACAGACCTGTTGTCCTTGGACTGCCAGCTGTGCCACAGTATCAAATTAGCTCCACATCCAGCTCTCTCTCTGAGAGAGAAAATAACTCAAACACGTGGTTCATGGGCAGTTAACATTCTCAGCAATAGTAGTTAAAAATATCCATAAACTTTGACCAACATTCTCTAACACAAAATATCTCATGAACCACTGGACAAAATTTAGTGAACCCTGCAGAAAGTAGCAACTGGTTATATGTACAACTGATAATGTTTTAGAGTCAATCCCATTCAAGATGGTTGCTGCCTCTAATTAATGTTAGCAAACACAAAAATGGCTCCAACACAGTTATTTTTACAGATATAGAACTAAAAGCTGGTGTTCATGTAGCAGTCATTCGTCCCCAACATTTAGTCTAAGCACCAATGGCTTACACAAGATCTTAGTTTAAAATGGAGCTATTTTCTATTTGGATTCCACCGTGTCAGTCTGTTAGCAAAATATTGCATGAACCACTGGATGGATTTTGTTAAAACTTTCTGAAAATAATTACTGGATATACCTCTATAATTGTTGACATTTTAGAGCCAATTCAGTTCAAGATGGCTGCCACAAGCAAACAAACTTAAAAAATACAAAAATAGCTATAGCTCTGCCAACTGTACACACACCGAGATAAAATTTGATGTGGTAGTAACTGAGAGTCATTTATAACACATATTCTGAGCACTCTGACATCTTTCAATACGTATTTTGTCATTTCTCAACTATAGTAATATCAATCTCAAAATGCATTTCTTCAAGAAAAGTTCAGCTTGTAACTTTTTCTTTTTCCTGCTTCTTGTGTAAAATAAGTTTTATGTTACACATTTAATTTAATCACTGCATAGACAGAAAAAGTCTCATATTTCCATGCATTCCCTCACACAGCAGAAAAATATAAATTTCAGAGATGAAACTATCTGAACTTCTTAGATCCTGCAACTATTGATTCATTTAACAAACTGCTGCCTTCTCACACAAACTCATCCAGACGTGTTACATAAGGACATGACGTGGCACCGGCTGAGAGCAGCAATTATTATCTAAAAGATAAGATATTAATTCAATAAAATGTGTTTGACACAAAGAGCCAGAATGAAGCTCAGAAAGCTTGGCTCAGCATTGATGGTGAAAGAATAAGCTTAATAGACTGAGAGGTAAGTTTATTGGCTCTGACAATGTTTTTCTTAAAAAGCAAAACAAAATGAAGCTGACGAGAGCGAAACACACGAACGAGTCTGCTCGTCGATAAAGCCAAACAGTGCACCACCAGGAGCTCACATTCATCACAGAGCGCAGGAGGAGGCTTCAAATCAAACTTTCAGCTGCATCACAAAAAGGTCAGCAATACCTTTGTTACTCAGGGACTTTACAAATATTTCAAATTTTAATTGGTTGTGTTAATCTGGTCTTTATACCTTACAAATTCAGACAATAATTAAAGGCCTAGCATTTCTTGAATGCTAGGCCTTTAATTAATAAATGAATTTGATGATGAGACAAAATGGGAGTTCTAGTCATTCTCAAACCTTGAAAGGGACGCTGTGCACACAATCTCATATGGAATCTC